GGGGGGGGTGAGAGTGACAGGGAGGGTGTCGTGTCGTCGAGCGCCAAGAGTAGCCTACCGTAGGTCTAATGTATTCATGGGTCACAGGTTCAGCCAATCGTAACCCGGTTTGTAACGCCCTGCATGTAGTCACGTGTGATCTAGACTAGATCTAGATTCTAGGCCTAGATCTAGAATCTACTTATGTTGTTACCCGTACGCATAGCCACATTGTCTTACACCTGCAGCTGTAGTGAGAAATCAGGTTGGACTTATAATATGGTGGTAGCCAAGGGTAATCCAGGGCAGATGCCGATTTATTTTTACGTCGTGCATTTTTTTTCTCCAATCAACTCCCATGTATCGCTCTTTGAGTTAAAAGTCTACCGTGCTATAGCTAATGGAAAATATTACAGTGTAGCACTTTTATTAGGAATTCTAATTCTTAAAGCTGTTCGTTTGTAGTGAACTGGGAGAGAATAATGACAGCTTGGCATAAAAATTCTTATTTTTTCACTTCATCAACTAGCCAAAGGCCAAAGCATCTTTTGATGTGGAGGGACAAGCTGCCTCTTATTCTGTACTTGTTTGTATGGTAGCCAGGGAACTTTTTAATCAAATTATTAAACAAGACTCTTCTTAAGATGTATGCTACATCTGACTGACCACTAATTAAATTGGCACTGATGAGACCAATCATCTCTGTGTCAAGAATTAACTATATTCTTTCGTCTTTCTCTTTTAGTGAGGCCAGTTTATACTTGATAGATGTTTTGGCCCCTGTCGACCAGAAGGAGAGAGATCAATGGGTTGACAAAATCATTGAAATTATACAGAAACAGTCGTGTGAGTACTCATTTGTTTAAATCTTAAAATTTTTGGAGTTGGAATGTGTGAGCACGTGCTGATGTGTCTTGTTTTCATTGTTGTCCTTATGTGTATTTATTTGATTATTATTATATGACTGAGAAAGTTCTTCCTCATATGGTTTACACTGGTTTTCTTGTTTTTATATGAAATTATTTTTTTGGTGTTCTTGTGTATGTGAGGTTTTACTCTTGCAATCATGTCATCAATGTAAAATGCTCAGAACTGTTTTATACTTTTGTAGGATAGAGCTGAAAGTGAAAGGTATTGTTTTCCTCAGTGACATCATCTATGATTGACAGGGGAGTGTGCGAACTGGCTGTGCAGGAATGCAATGCGGAACAGGAGGATGATAGGTATGGATTTTTTTTTCTGTCTTTTGCTAGCCAACAGCTCACACCAGGCACTGACTCATTGATAATTGGTTATTCTTTTTGACCCTGATTAGTACACCACATTTCAATATATATTCAATTGTAATTATTATTATTTCACACTTACATTTCACTAAGACTGCTTGAGTAGAATAACTACACTCAAAAACCATTTTTTAAAGAGGAAGATGACTCAGTAATTTACCTGTGGAAGGTTTTGAATGAATCAAAAATGTTCATTCTACAATGTCTTAAGTAAGAACTTCAAATTTTATACAGTATTGAAATTAGTTGCTCATCAAAGCTCAAGTCTTTGTAATATAAAAGACGGACGTTAAAAGCATTTTTGGATTGGATAAATGAACTTTTTTCTTGCTGGTCAGTCATATTGGTGGAAAGGCTCTTTAACTGTTTAGTCTCACTTTTAGAGTGGGGTAAAGGGTTAGCGACTGTCTAAATGATTTTTTCCCCTCTTTTTTCAGTGACACTATTTTCAACGTAATAGATGCGTTTTCCGTGCCCAGATTTTCTTATGTGAAAGAACGCAAGAAGTTTCTAGCGTGAGTACATATTTTTGTGTTGTGAGGGTGAGTTCATGGTTTACATTCTTTTTTGATTGCTGCAAATACTGTCGGTCTTGGTGGTGAAATAAGGTACCGTTTCTCATCTCGCTAGTTTTTGTTAAGAAATTGTTTTTGGTTTGTTTCAGATATTTAGATTGTGGTATCTATATAGCTCTAACCAAGGAGGAACTCAGAACAGAGAATATGAAGTTTCATGTCGAAAATATAAAGAAAAATGTTTTAAATCTACAATATATTTTACACTGAAATGGTATCTAATGAGACAGACAATTACCTGTGCTGAAAATACCTCTCATTAGTTTGAAATTGTAATTCAAACCATTTTCACAATTTAGGATATTGCAAATTGTAATAAATGGTGTATATTTACCTGAGCAGGCTTAGATGGAAATTGTTCACGTTCTTGCAAGCTAACTGTTGTCTGTTTCTTGTCGTGGAATAAGTGAACTTATTCCAAGATGGCTGCTGGGTTATGTGATCACGTAAGAACAATAGCTAAAATAGAAATTACCTTATTTTCCAGTTTTATATAACATTCTGAGTTATGTAATTTGCTAAACATGTTTTGAAAAATGGCCGAGAGGTAAATTTTGTGGAATGTTAACCTTGCTTCTTTTTTCCAGGGATTCCACCTTGGAGAAACCCCTTCCTAAGTTGCATGGATCAGCTTCTGATAAAGCCAATATGTTTCGAGACCGCTACACTATTTTGCACCAGGTATGGCATTTAAGGAAATATTAGTGGTCATTGATTGATTTTAAATTTCTCTTTTTCTTTTAGTCATGAAGAAAAACAGCAGAATCATTACTCTTTGAACATTATTGACTGTCTACTTTGCATCTGTTTATTTTTGTAGATTAACCTGTAGACACTTGTGTATAACTGTGTTTAGACAGTGCTTTCATTTTTGCTGCAGATCTTTGAAGTTTCAAGATTGGTGAACCCCTTTAGTGAGCTAGCATACCCATAGCCTTCAATTTCAATTTGTTACACAGAGCATTTCTAAGGGAGATCTACAATTTAATTCATTTGAAATTGCGTCCCACAGAGAACGCTGAGACATGATCTCTTCACACCTCCTGCTCTGGGGTCAACTGAAACAGAAAGCAATAAATTTCAGGTACAGTAATTGAAAATGACCAGATGTGCTTATTATGCTCTGATGTTTAAGATGATAACATAGGCCTCTCTTATTGCTAGAGCTGATTTTAATTAGTTTTTGCTTGTCAGGTCTTTCCTCCCCCCC